TGTCAGCCTCAGGTGGCTGGAGTTCGAACCTCACAACTCTCCCGCTGGCCAAACATGCCCTGAAGGCATGCGAGGAACAACAACAACAAATCCAAATAGGGCAACTTAGTGACTTAGGGAGACCCTTTCTCAAAATATGAAATAAAATTAAATATTAAAAGAATTTTAAGGGCTGGCCAGATAGCTCAGTGGATTAAAGTGCCTGCTTAGGCAGATGCAGGGACCGGGGTTCAATCCCCGGCTTGCTGAGCTGGCCCCACCCCCGGGGCGTGAATGGCACTGGGTGTGGTGGTACGTGCCTGAAATCCCAGCCCTTGGGAGGCTGAAAACGGGAGGATCACCACAAGTCTCATCTGTGTAGTGAGACCCTGTACAAGAATTTTAAAGGGATGCAGCACCATGCAGAGGCCCTGGGGTCAATCCTCAGTGCTACGAAACAAAACAAACCAAAACATAAAACAAAAGCAGGTCTAAGCCCGAGACCTGTGCCACTGGGACATTTGGGTGCTGGCGGTGCAGACAGATCGGCTTGGTCTGCACAGGGAGGAGAGACGGGACGCGGCTCCCCCTGCAGAGCTGTGGCTCCGAGAGGCTCGGGGATCTGGAACAATGGTGGGCTAGAGCCCATCTGGCCGTGTTCTTTAAAAAGCTTCTGAGGCGATTCGTGTACAACCAGGGCCGAAACCATTGCTGGAGGGTTGAGAGGAAAAGAAGGAAACAGAGGGTGGAGGTGGGCCACAGAGTCAGAAAGTGGTGATGAATTCTGCCACAGTGTAGAGCGACTCAAAGCCCAGGAAGTGTCTACGGGCTCTGTGTGTCAGGAGTCACCAGGGACCCCAGCCAGAGAGGAGCCTAGTTAGTGGGTGAGGGTGGCGGGGGAGAGGAGGGCTAGAGCCCATGCTGAGCTCTCAGGGAGGCCCTGAGGAAGCTCCTCGTTTCTCTAGTGTAGGGCTATTCCAGACCTGTTTCAGATGTGGGGTCTAGTTGGCAGGGAGTCTATGGTGTAGCAGTAGGAAGTGGAAATATAACCTGAAACAGGTGTAAACAAAAATAGAAAAGAACTGAACAGAAACAGAACCAAAATCATATTTCTATGATTTGTAAAATTTTTCTGATGAGAGCAGATATCACTTCTTATTCAGTAAAAATATTTTTATGATTGATTTATTTTTGTGGTACTGGGAATTGAACCTCTGTGCAGAGCTCTACTTCCCTTTTCTTTTGAGATAGGGTCTTACTTAGTTGTTCAGGTGGGACTTGAATTGAAGATCTCCTGCCTCTGCCTCCCAGAGTGCTGCTGTACCAGGCAGTAAAAATACTTGAAACAGTTGAGCTGGTGGCACCTGTAATCCCTGCACTCGGGAGGCTGAGGAAGAGGACCAATGAGTTGAAAGCCAGCCTGGGCTACATAGACTTCTGCCTCGTAAAACACAAACATATCAAGAAAGACTTCGACCTGAAGGTGGCTGAGCATGTGGACTGCTCTCGCTGCCCAGGTTTTTGTAAATTAAGAGTGAAGTGACTTTTGAAAAGAAGGGACAGGACACAGCAGTAATACAATTTTGGAAGTCTGAAAGCAGGTGGGCCTGTGGTTGCTGATTTAGAATTTGAGTCTCAGGTATCTGAAAATGCGGGTCAAGGTGAGGCTAAAACCAGAGCGTAGGTCATGTCAGCCAGGGTGGTGGAGCACGTCTGTCATCCCAGCAGCCTGGGAGGCTGAGGCAGGAGGATTGTGAGTTCACTTGAGCAATTTAGCAATGTCCTACCAGATAAGGGCTGGGATGTAGGTCAGTGCAAAGGCCCTGAGTTCATCCCCAGTACAAACACCAACAAAGAAAAAGACGGAGTCTCCCCCCACCCCCCGCAATCCCTGCACCTGGCATCTGCCACTCCTGTCCTCTGGCAC